CGTGTGGTGTACATATTCCTTCTTTGATTGTTGTATAGATACGTGTGGTGTACATATTCCTTCTTTGATTGTTGTATAGATACGTGTGGTGTACATATTCCTTCTGTTATTGTAGTATAGATACGTTACTAGATTGTTGTTTATACTATACCGTACGTTTTGTATTAGGTTGTTTTACATGTATACACCACACTGTAAAATAATTAACCAACCTAGATACCTGTTGTAGTGTTAGGGTTAAAAGTTCGGTTACTTTATGCGTAAATTAGTGTAGGTCGGTAATAATACTGGGATAAGGTGCCCTAGTATTACGTTAATTACGTATAGAATACTTAAATTTGTTTATTAGTTTGCACAATACTTAATTCATATCTTGTACAAAAGGCTTACATTTTATTTTGACGATGAGCTATCTAATTTATTTTTCATCCGATTTTGTGTTATCTGTGGTTGAGGTGCCTGGTGACGTCGGAGCTCAGAGGATAGCTCAGCTTAGAGAACGCACAAATCCGTGTACTGATAAACCTTGTCTCTGTATTATGTTACCAATTTTACTTTATACCGCCGGCGGAAGCAGTAGAACTAGTAGACTTAACGTTCTACCATATTTTAGGCTAGTGATCACGTGACTTTAAACATTTTATGGATCGATACAGCAGAGAATCTGATTATTTACCAATTATTATTAAATTGTGTAAATAAATAAAATTAAAATTGCAGATAACCACTGTATCTTATGTCAAAAGTCAAACTCAAAGCGTAAAAAAAAAAAAATTCTGGGGGGAATTCCCCCCGGACACCCGTCAGCTGTTGGCCCTACCAACAAATTGTAACTTCCTCCGGGGCTGCTCTAACCCCGATTTCGTGTGAACTAGATATTAATAAATAGAGCATGAATTGAATGACTTCACCTGAAAGTGATTCTGATAATGCATTAAATTTCAACACTAAAGTACACTACAATTAAAAGATAGTTAGAAGTTATAATATTTTAACTATGATAAGGTAAAAACTGCCGTTATAAAATTATGTTAATCCTCACCCTGAGCCCCACCCCCCAGCTCAAAGTAACGAAAATCTTGCACACGTTCATCAGCCTTTTCTCGTAAATAAACACCTCGTGGGTTTGGTTTTACGTCTTTACGACCCATAAATTTTCCAATCAGTATGGAGTAGTATCACAGTGAAATTTATGGGCAGCCTGGCACCAATATTATACATCAAGTTTTGTGAAAGTCCTGAGGTAGATTGATCCTCTAATATGGCTGTTTTCGGGCATCTTGAGAGACATTTGATGTAATGAGGTTGAAGATTGATGAACACGCAGGTTTTTTTTTTTGTTTGTTTCGCTTAATCATTGCTTCTTCCATGAACATTTCAACAAGTTTAGTAAAGTGAGAATGGGCATTATCGTCCACATGGCTGAAGACAGGATCACCTATATCAACACGTGGTAGGACAAAAGGTTAGAGAATGTGGTCCTTGTCATATAAGGCATTAATGGTACTATTACGAAGATATGGAGATCAATATGTCAATCAATGCTTATTCCTGCTCACATCGCAGTTCCAACACTAATAAATGAGTAATATGCCTGCTCCATTGCAAAGTTACTCAACAGGCTATTTGTACTTTGTCCACCACAAGTGGGCGAAGCCTGGATTTTAGCATTGTAAGTCTGTAAACTTACACTTGACTCACGTGGAAACCATTTCTGTAAAATAATGGGGTGGAGTTGTTTCCAGATTTTCTCCAAATGTGTTAAGCTTGTTACCCGATTGCAGCAGGACGAAGTAGATCTCACCTGGAAAACAACAACAAAACACTACTCAACATGTCTCTTGTTAAAGCATAATGCATATCAATCGGTATGTGGAATACAGACTGGCTGGTGAAGCCTGTTTCTAACCGTATACACATTGACACAACGTTCAGTTGCAGCTGCGAACGCCTGATTCAGTATCGAAGCAGGTATATTACGCTTGCGGCAAGTCAAAATCAGCTGATACCTATGGTTGTTTGTTGCTAAACACAAAGCTATTCAATGAGCTATCTGTGCTCTGTCATCCGTGGTTATCAAATAAACCCAAATTTTTAGTATTAGAAGCCCACAGACTTACCGCTGGGACACCAGAAGGCGATAGATGCTGTCTGCTTGTGTCGTGACTTATTTGTCCAAGTGTCCGAGGAACTTAACGACGATCCCGACAGGAATTTCGTACTGTCATTTTCGTTTTTGTTTCGATTGAAACGAAATTAATGTAAAAACCCAGTTGTGACGATCAAGCTGCTTAGAAAGAGTAACAGTCATTTTCCATTCAATTAATCTTACTTACGTACAGTAAAATTATTTCCTATTTTATCAATTCTAATTAGTTACACGACACATGTATCTACTCCTCTCTAACCCTAATAATTTCTTACCGTTATAGAAGGCTATTGATTCTGGTCCCTGCAACTTCCCAGTAAACAAGTGTTCCGCTTCGCTGAGTTTTTCATTAATCTCCAGGGGGCCCTCAAAGGAAGTTGGTAGGTTAACACTAGAATATACAAGAGCCAGTCAAACATATACCAATCATTTACTGGCGATTCACAAAGAGAGAAAAAAAATTAGTTATATTTATATAGGCTATACTTACAAGTATTTAAAATAAATATTTACTCGTTGAATTAATACCTTAACATCGATTTCTTTGTAAACCAATATCACTAGACTTAGTGGAGTACGTGCGGCAAATGTTCATGTCTTAACTATTGTGAGGAACCCCTTCGTCCAACCAGGATATGAAGCAAATGCCATTACATAAAAGAGAGAAAAAACTATTAGGTCGTCAAGAAATTTATGTCGCATTTTGGAACACTTTCATTAACCACTCCTCAAAAAATGTACATCACCTATAACAGGTAAACGAACTGTCTAAACGTGTGAAGTTTAGTATATTCTAATCCCTTATAGTGATGGCACATGACGAGACACGCGTTCGGCATGTAATGATGTTTGAATACAATAAGGAAAACAACGCCTCTGTAGCCACAAAGAATATCAAAGAAGTTTATGGAAATGTTTTGAACGTTAGTAAGTGTCAACGATGGTTCAGCAAATTTAGTTCAAGTGACTTTAGCCTTAAAAACTGTGATGGCAAGGACCGACATGTTGGAATTGGTGTTCTCAAGACGCTTGCTGAGTCTAACCCAAGGCAACATACTCGTAAAATGGCCCTGAAATTGCATGTCTCTCATGAAACAATCCGTAAACCTCAAAGGAATATGGGAAAACTTCATAAAGATGTTTGGGTGCCGCACGAACTTTCCAATGATCATCGTTTCCAACGTTTGGACTTTGTTTCGTCTCTTCTGGCGCGTAATGCACGTTAATCATTTTTGAATTGTCACCGGTGATGTAAAATGGATTCTATATGCGAATATTAAACGCCAAAAACATTGGCTCAGTCCTAGACAAAAAATACTTCCGACCACAAAACTGTCAATGCAGAGATCTACAGTCAGCAACTGGAACGTTTAAATCAAGCTCTTCATCAAAAACGCCCTTCACTTCGTCAATCGGAAAGGTGTTCTTCTTCTCCACGACAATGTACGTCCACATGTGGCACGTTTGACACTACACAAGATTATGGATTCGGGTTGGGAAGTTCTCCCCCACCCACCATATTCTCCAGATATGGCACTATCAGATTACCATCTTTTTCGTTCGCTGCAACACCATCTTAATGGGAAAACGTATGCAAATGTTGAAGGTACTGAAGAGAACATCGTAGATATCAGTAGAAAGAAATCACACAGTATGGATCAACACTGTAAAATATGACCAAGTAAGTGAAATATATATATTATTACTTGTTTATGAAAAATCCAGTCATTAACACATCTTGAATTATTTTTATCGGATATAAGAATATTTTTTTCTGTAAAGCAACAACCGTGCATGATGTTTTGAGCGTTAACTCCGAGCGATTTTGGTTAGGGCGCTTCACTCGCAATCTGAGGGTCGCGGGTTCGTATCCTCGTCCCACCAAACATGCTCGTCCTTTCAGCCGTGGGGGCGTTATACAGTGACACTTAATCCCATTATTCGTTTGTAAAAGAAAAGTAGGCCAAGTGTTGACGATGGTTCTGTTGACTAGTGACCTTCATATAGTCCAGAACACTTTTCAGCTGAGAAATAGCTTACAGAACACTAGATAGGTGAAATATCGGTGTAGAGGGTATGTGTGCGCACGCAGCGCCCTCTACATTTGTATATTATTCATTTATGTATTTAATCAAATTACATATTAATGAATTTTTATGCTTGGAATATATTTTAGGTACAAACCTCTCCACTAAGATATTATGTAGAATAGATCTGGCATCTTCTATAATTCTTCTTCAATGTGAAACCGATATTATCTAATTCTAATACATAGGAAAATATTTCATAATAAGTTATGATCGTACAAAAAGTGTTAAATATTTTATTAAAATTTAAAATCATGATTTTATCACTGAGCACCTGTCAATCTCGGACTGAACACCAGTGTTCCGCGGAACATAGTTTGGGAAATACTGCACTAGTCTTACGATGCCAAATTAGGGACTGCTAGCGCAGATAGCTCTCGTGTAGCTTTGCGCGAAATTCAAATTAAACTAAATCGAGCGATTTTTAATATTGTATTTTATGACGTACCTACAAAGACTATCCGCCACCATTTCTAATGAACAGATGAAAAGCAGTCAGTAAGCAGCACCTTATACCTCACCATTGACTGCCACTCTTATAACTCACCTACAGCTTAAAATTAGTGTGTGTGTGTGTGTGTTGGGGGGTATTTTGTAGTATCGCACGGATTCGGGTCCGATTTTCCAGCTTTGAAATCCAGAACTCTACTAAAGGGCCAATTTGTGCCCAAGCAGTTTTAAGATGATATATCAGATTAGGCCTAACACTAAACACATCAATAACTCCAAACTCAAATATTTAATAAAACAAACTTTAAATGAATCAATTTTTGTTTATTTAAACGAATTTTAGCTAAGTATAGTAAATAATATCTTAATTAATTAATATAAACATTGTAATATTCTTGGGTAATGCAATCATAACTTTTCTTGTCCTACTCTTATGCAGCGCTACCTGAATTTCGGTTTTGAAAGACTGATTATTATTTTTTTATCTCAATTACCTCAATTTATTTATCGTAATTTAACAAATTAGTCAACAGCTAGAATATTTTCAGAGCTCTGAAGTTCATATTCATGTACTCCACGTGCACTTCTTACAGAAAATCGCAATACAAGAAGTCTTGCCGGAAGTTGTTCAGAACACTTTGCTAAAGAGATAGTTATTTAGAACAAGTTTTCTTTTATATACACCTGGAAAAAGTTAAGCACCCCCATGTTTTTTTCAAGTGGTTCAGATTCGACGTTCTTGTGACTGATTATAAATTACCATTCAATCTAAATGTGTTTATCAAATGAAATTATGCATTATTGGGCAGATAATCTTGTTTTCTTGCGGTTTAAAAATTGTTATTTTAATTAAAGATAATTTTAAGCGTGAAAACTGTCCATATTTTGATGTCATGATATGTAAAAAGTATTGACAGTGAAAGCTCAAAAACGTTATTGAATTGTCAAATCACATTACAAAATGTCAATCATGACCCACACATTGATAATTAGTCATCGAAAAGTCAATATCGGGTATATCCACCATTTGCCTGGATGACTGCTGCAACCCTGCGGCGCATACTGCCAGTTAGATGTCTGATTTGTTGAAGCGTTATCTGTCGCCATTCTCGGTGCAAGTGAGCTTCTAACTGTTGCAATGTCTGTGGAGGAGGCTCCAAAGCCTGTATTCGCCTACCCAATTGGTCCCAAGATGCTCTATAGGGTTGAGATCTGGACTTCTTGCTGGCCAAGGAAGAGTGTTGACGGATTCATTCTCTAAATAAGCCTTTACTGCCCTAGAGCGATGAGGTCTAGCGTTGTCATCCATGAATAAAGGTCTTGACGCTAACGTGTGAACCGGTGTTTGGAGGCATCGTAACGCAGCTTACACTCCAAGAAACATTGTTCCAACAGTGCCTTTTGGTGGGGGCTCAGTTATGGTATGGGACTGTGTCTCGCATGATTGCAAGCTGGATTTGGTAACAATCAATGGCAACCTTACTGGCGAAAAGTACACCTGTAGTTGTGCCTCATTTTGACAACTTCTCGTCTGACCAGTGTATTCGTCGCCAGGTTTGAAGGTTTGTATTCGTGTATTTCTTACTGTTCTGGTTGACAGATTACGACCAGGTAACCACTACCTTTTAAGACGGGTGCTTGTTGCAAACGGATTTCGTCTGACCAATCTACCAAGGCTCCTATCTTCACGTTGGGTTGTTACAAATGGTTGACCAGATCGAGGACGGTCCTTAACATTCTGGGTGGCGACATGTTTTCTGACCAAACGGCTGATCACTGTGTAATGATAGC